GGAAATATATAAGGTTTTCAAAGCTCATCTTACTGTACACTTACAACGGCTACATTTTACAGAATATAAATTTATACTTCAATAAAATAGATTTTTAAAACTAAAAAAAAAAGAGGAAAAGGGAAAAACATTGTAGGAAATAGCCTAAGTAGGTAAAGAGCACAAAGATCAAAATAAAAAGAAGAAAAGTAAGCCAGGCATGGTGGCTCATGGCTGTAATCCTAGCACCTTAGGAGGCCATGGCAGGAGGATCATGTGAGGCCAGGAGTTTGAGATCAGTTTGAGCAACATAGCCAGACCCTCTCTCTCTCTTTTAAAAAAAAAAAAAAAAAGCCAGGTTTGGTGGCATGTGATTGCAATCCCAGCTACTCAGAAGGCTAAGGCAGGAGGACTGCTTAAGGCAGGGGTGCAGCCTGCAGTGAGCTATGATTGCACCACTGTACTCCAGCCAGGGCAAGGGAGTGAGACTATGTTTAAAAAAAAAAAAAAGAAGAAGAAGAAAAGTAGAAATGTTAAAACATATTCTATAAATTAGAAAACCTTATGTAATGGGAACATTCACAGAGATAGCAATAGGGAGTACCATCAGTAGGGAGAGGCTGGGGCAACTAAGAACCACCTAAGAGAAACTAAAACAATGAACTCAATAGGTGGGATAACATGAATAAATGGTCAAACATCTCTTCATAATACAATAAAGTGTTAGATCTTCTTTTGGTTGCACCATTATTCAGACACCTCAACTAAGAAGGACATGACCGAGAGCAAGAAAAACGAGGAGGAAAGGGGTCTCACAACAGCCCAAACTGACAACCGCCCGACAAAGCCCAGGGCTCCTCTCATCATCATCATTTTAAACCTTTACTTTAAAAAGAACGCTAAGAAGTTTGGTAAAGATTTCTCTGTCGGTAGCATACTAAAAGTAGTATTTCAGAAGCAAGGAGAGGTTTCTAGACGCTGTTACATTGAAAATACCATCATGTTAGCTAATGATAAAGGCCACATCCCAGCACCACCAAACTCAAGATATAAGGAGAAAGGATAAACAACCTAAGCTTCACGATCAGCCCTAAATGCACCAGAAATGACATCCCCAAGAGAAGAAAATGCTTAAATTACAATCAGCAAGTTCTGTTTAAGATGGAAAGGATGAGCCTCATTTTAAAGCAGTTTTCACCCCGGCTGATTAAAAAGTAGAGATAGCTTCAACACCTGAAAATATTACTTACGTCAAATGTCTCATATCCAAGCCAAGAAAACTATACTACAATAAACATAATGAAACAGAGCTACAGTTGATAGAGAAACTATTATTTTGAGTGTGAAAGAGATAAAACCACATTTGAAACATGAGTAAGATAAGCATGGAGGCCAGCACTGTGGCACAGTTTGGATCACGTCTACCCACAGCTGCAGGTGATGCCTGGCCTCCTGGGCACACTGACACGTGACCTGGGCCTTTGCATGTGTGCTGTTGTGCCAGCTGAATCTCAGTAACCTCATGTTTCTCTAAGAAGTTCAGAGGCCATGTCTGGTCCCCGTCCTTAATTCATGTAGTACTAGAATCTGCACTTTTTCACTAATAGCTACAGCAGAGAATTGGAGTAATTTTTGTACTCAATAATTATGATTTGGCAAAATTTTAAGTACTACATGCCATGTGAACTGGCTCTATGTAAATGCAACAGATTTAATCATAGAAATTTAAAGACTCCAGAGTCATCTAGAACATGCAGTTATATAATCAACTTTCTATTACTGTATTTTCAACCAGTCTCTGACACTAATAAAGATGGCATATGTGTTCTTTATGAGGTATCATCATTAAAAAATAGATAAAATTCCAACTTTCCTTTTCTTTGTATTTGCATAAAATATAATTTTTCATCTTATTCTCTTCCTCAGAAAGTCATACTGAATTTTAAAGAAAAGAAAGAAATTTCAGCCCCAAAGAATAATATTTTAAGATACCATGTAAAAAACCTCAGAAGAGTATTTAAATAAAACAATAATTTTTAAAATTATGTTGGCAATATAATAAAATTATTTCAAAAATATGTTGGCAATTTCAAAATGAAGATAAACAGGATGACAGTTGACCAAATACATCTATCTAAGATCTTTCTTTAAACTATCTAAGTCTATATCTTGTGGGTTGGCTATCTAGCTTTCCAATTTTCAACATCACGGTAACATGTAAGAGAAAGCACAGAAAACAAATGCACCTATGAAATAATCTTGCCAGAAAAATTGTACTTTAATTTGGTCCTCTATATCTTTTTTTCTTTTTTTTTTTTTTGAGACAGAGCCTGACAATGTTGCCCTTGGTAGAGTGCCATGGCGTCACAGCTCACAGCAACCTCAAACTCTTGGGCTGAAGCAATTCTCTTGCTTCAGCCTACTGAGTAGCTGGGATTACAGAAGCCCGCCACAACGCCAGACTATTTTTTTGTTGCAGTTGTCACTGTTGTTTAGCAGGCCTGGGCCACGGTCAAACCTGCCAACCTCGGTGTATGTGGCTGGCGCCCTACTCCCTGAGCTACAGGTGCCGAGCCGATCTTCTGTATCTTTTAATTTAAAGAAAGTAAGGCACAGAGGAAAAATGCAAGCAAGGGTACAATCATCCAAACCCACACTATGAGAAACGCTATAAGGCAACTCAATGTTTTCAACAAATAAATCGAAGAGTATCTCAATACTCCATTAAAACCCACAACTTCAGTCTCATCAAGTTTTTCTTTTCACAGCTACTTATACTATGGCACTCCAAACACTGTACTGATTTTACAGGTGTGTCTCCCACTACAGCACCAGCACAGGGGAGTACAACTAAGTATCTCAGAACAGGGCTCTGAAGTTAGACTGCCTGAGTTGAAATCTAGCTCAGCCCCCTCAGCTAACTCATCTATAAAATGAACAATATACCACCTGCTGCTCAAGGAAATTTTAAGGATTCCATGAGAAAATATATGTAAAGCCCCAGCATAATGCTTGGCATATCCTCAGCAGTTAGTAATGTTTGAATAAATAAAAACTTTAGCAGCAAAATTAAATAACTATGATTATCATCTCCTGTGATTTAATCTAACAACCTTATTGTAGCAAGTGAATAATAAAATGTCAAAAGAATAAGAAAAAAATTAGGAAAGATAACTGGGGGAAAAAAATCCATGAGCCAGGTATGGTGGCTCACCGTGGTAGCCAAGGCATGTGGATATCTTGAGCTCATGGGTTTGAGACCAGCCTGAGCAAAAAGTGAGACCCTCTCGCTACTAAAAATAGAAAACTGAGGCAAGAGGATCACTTGAGCCCAAGAGTTAGAGGTTGCTGTGAGCTATGACACCACAGCACTCTATCCAAGGCAACAGCTTGAAACTCTGTCTTAAAAAAAAAAATGGCTGGACGCCCATAGCTCAGTGGTTAGAGCGCTGGCCTTGTGCACCAAGGGTGGCAGGTTCGAATCTGACCAGGGCCTGCTAAACAAAACAAAACAAAAAATCCAGACTATCAATTTATATACAACTGAGAGGTACTAGAGTATAATCCTAGTAAATATCTGATGCAGAATGCAGCTATTAAGAGATGGCTCGGCGCCTGTGGCTCAGGTGGCTAAGGCGCCAGCCACATACATCTAAGGTGGCAGGTTTGAATCCAGCCCGGGCCTGCCAAACAACAATGACGGCTGCAACCAAAAAATAGCCGGGCATTGTGGCGGGTGCCTGTGGGATGCTGAGGCAGGAGACTCTCTTGAGCCCAGGAGCTGGAGGTTGCTGTGAGCCATGATGTCACAGCACTCTACCCAGGGGGACAGTTTGAGGCTCTGTCTCAAAAAAAAAGAAAAGAAAAGAGATAAACTTAAGCAAATCTGTTATAAGTAATCATATTTATTTTCTAACTAAAACCTCTATATAAGCAACTTCAAGCACAACTATTAATAATATAGAAAGCACTCTAAAAAGGATTTTTTAAATGTCAACATCACTGTTCTAAATTTCATTTTCTCATTTTAAAAAACACTAACAATATTGTTTTCCATTGGAAAATGTACATACTGTGAGCCAGCAGCTGCGTAGTGAGCGACATGGTAATAAACAGAAAAACCTCAATATAGCTTCATCCAAAATTCTTAAAACATTCATGTAAAACTTCAAAATTTCTACTTTGAAAATGAAAATTTCCAAATATATGAAAATACTTACATCTCAATTTGTCCAGCATTTTTCCACCACACATGGTTGCTAACATAGCTTTAACTGAAAACACCGTCAGCTTGCCTCGGCCCTCACTGCAAAATAAATTACATTAGAAGTAATTGTTATCTGGAACCACAAAAGCAATCAACATATCATTAATATCAAGCAACCAGTAAACTGATCTCTGCCCTTACATTTTACTGCATTTAGAAACCCTGGATTTATTTCCTTTATAGAATTAAGACTCCATCAATGCTAGGTGAAGAATGCTAAAACTAACCTGAAATATCTGGAAATGAGATGTAGAAACATTCTGCAGAGTAATTTTATTGGATATGAAGACAGAGCCAAACAAATGAACCTAAAGTTAATTTCCTATTAACATATTAAATCTACATCTGCAGGCTTGGCGCCCATAGCACGGTGGTTACAGCACCAGCCACATACACCTAGGGTGGCGGGTTCGAGCCCAGCCCAGATCAGCTAAACAACAATGACAACTGCAACCAAAAAATAGCTGGGTATTGTGGTGGGCGCCTATAGTCCCAGCAACTTGGGAGGCTGAGGCAGGAGAATAGCGTAAGCCCAAGAATTTGAGGTTGTGAGCTGTGACATCACAGCATGCTACCGAGGGTGACACAGTGAAACTCTGTCTCAAAAAAATAAATACATAAATAAAGGAAGAAAGAATTACTTAAAAAATAAATAAATCTACATCTGCAATAAATTTTTCATATGCAAAAGTGAGGGGCCACCTGGTTTGAATATAATTCATAAATGTGTCCTTATATCAGCATGTTGTAACAACACTTTATTGTCTATGCTAAACAACAGAGTGCACACGGCTATATTATAGTACATTCATTTGGTTTTCACTACAACAACATTTGTGCTACCATGTGTTTATTCTACGAAGCTCAATCACATCTGTCTCAGATATTCTCATACACCACTGTGAGAAAAGTGAAGGGGAAGGGACAGTAACGTTAATTCTTATTTAGGAACTGGAAAGATGAAATGTAGAAGAATGTAAGGGAACTACCCAAAGTGATACTGCACGCCACCAGCAGAACCAGCGCCCCCGACCCACCATGTCCACAGCCTTATCCATTCAACTATACCCATGTTTCCCAGCATATAAAAACCACCAGCTGGACGTGATCGTTATCATATGTAACAAGTTTACAATGGATTTTTATGTTGATTTTTAAAAGCTTCTGTTCATAAAATTTCACAGTAACTTAAGAGTAAAATCCCTTTGCAATAACGATAGCAATGTGGTCTTGGTTTTGAAAAGCCTGTATCATCATATGTATATTCACTAATGGTCCTAATACAGTGTTTCCCGTTTTCCAAAACACCTGAAAAAAGGCAAGTGGTCTGTAAGCCAGAAGGTTCTCTATGAAAACATCACTAGAAAGTACCAATATTTGTTACAGTAGGATTTTTAACTATTCTAATACATCCCCCTGAGTTTATTCATAAGAGAAATCCCTGGAACTAGCTAAACTTAGCGTGGGTTTTAAAAAAACATATAGTTCTTCAGAAATAAAGATATGCTCTACATATAGGGTAATATGAGACCTGGAATTGGCAAGGAAGATTCCTGTGTCAAATTTTCACTGCACTGTATGAGAAAAATCAGGGGCTAAGATATTTAATATCAATAAAGAATGGATTTCTATGATTGATACAGAGGACTGTTTTTTTTTTTTTTT